TATAGAACCTCCAGTTATAGCACTAACGTGTCTGCAGAAAGATGGAGCCCATGCAAAGTCCATCATCCAGAGCCCACAGCTGTACGTCTCCTGTTTCTCTGACTGACTGCAACAGTGAAGATACAGATGCCTTATTAGCTTCAATATCTACTTTGTATTTTAATATTTATATTGTAATACTATACAAATATAATATGTATCAATATATTTATTGTGATTAATTAACCAATTGACACCACATGTTCTTTTACCAAACAAATGCTTCTGTCAGTGTATAATGGAGCAACAGCCACAAAATCTCCAGAGTACATCCAGAACTTTGACAACTTTACCATTCAGCAGTGGTTTGAATTTGTAAACACAGCCCTATGAAGCAAAACCAGAATTTATTCATTATGTTTCTCAGCATTGTCTTTATTGTATTGAATTGCATTCTGGCATAAATATAAGAATATGAGTTTTTAACATGACATTTTTGATCAAATATTATATTAATATAGTGTATATTATAATAAAACTTTTTACATTCATATTATTTTAATATGAATAATTAAAAAATACACTAACATTATCATAATATATAAACACTTACTGTATTAGAATCTATCAGCAGTGTCTCACCGTCTGGGGAACAGCATATATTCGAGGATGCATCATCCAAAGCCCAAGTCTGCACCACCTCCAATTTGTTTCCTTTAATTTGTATGTTTCGTAAAATGCCTTCCTGTAATTGATTTGGAAATGCTCTTGAATCAGGCTGAAATTATGTCTCACTTGATAAGAGATTAATGTCTACACATTTACACATTTCAGGCCTCATATTAGGGTGATGATAAATACAATTTCTTACCATTCCTGCAGCAAAAAAAGTAGAGTCTTGCAGTTCTAAGCTCTGGAAGCTGCCTTCCTGCAGGGATGTTTCACTGTCATCTGTGATGTAAAATTACTACAAAGCTCTCAAGAAGACAAGGAACTAAATTAAGTCTAGAATTCAAACTAGTTAAAAAAACATTTACATGTGAAATCCTGAAATGTTCTAATTTGATATGTATCAAGTATGAGTTTACCTGTGGGGGTTAAGTCAGTTTGAGGTTTATATAAGACAGAGACAAGCAAAGTATCAGGATTCACACAAAGCAGGAAACCTTCCTTGGAACCAACATATAGGTCAGAAGAATTTGATCAGCAGATGGCACTTGGACACAGTTTTGGTTTTATTTGTTTCAAAGGCTTTTGGGAAAGACACATACTATTATGCTGTGACTTTGACAAAAATAAAGTGCTATTTAAACCTTCTGATTATGATGTTGAAATCAACGTCTGTTCTTTTGTTTTAATCATAAAATATTGTCAGAAAAAACATCACTTTATACAACACTAATAAAAACTCATCTTCAGGAGAACTACTATAAGAAAACACTCTACTGTAGATACAGCCCGTACCACAAAATTGTCAGCTCTGTCTCCACTCAGTCCAGGGATTGCTGAAATGGGCATCTGAGGACCTAAGTGAGTCAGCTTCCCACTGAGCATACAAGACAGGTTTGTTTCACACTCAATAACTGAACCATCAGTGGCAGGGAGATTGACAGCACTGGCAAGAAAACATAAAGAAAGGATAATGGGTAAAATAAACAGTGTGTGCATTAATTCCATTCTTGGCATATGAAATCCATGTGCAAGTAACAGTGACATCTGCTGGAGAGGCACTCTACCTAGGTTTCATCAAATGATGATCTTTCAACATTCCAGATGGCAAGGGACCTCAAACTTACAGCACCAATTTGACACCATTTCATAGGGTTAAAAACCAATGCTGTGACATCCTCTCCCAAAAGTTGATTGCTACAAAGGGAATGCCGCTCTCCCAGTTCCTAAATAGTGGATATTAAATAATAATATTAAAAAATAATAATAAAATATAAATAATTACTGTAGCAAATGTCAGACTATTGTAAAACATTTGACCATAATGTGATGGTGTGATCAGGCACGGAGGAAGCACAGACTAAATAAGGGCCAGTATCACACAGTACCAAAGCTGTATAGCCCAGTTTAGCTGTGCCTAAAAACTAAAGAAAAAGCACTAAGAGTAGAGTTTTATACATTAATAGAATTTTTTGTGCACTAAAAAAGTTTGATAGCATCTACAATCAGCACTCATAGCTTGTTATTCAAGGAAATAAAAATAAAAAAACTGACCTTGCAGTTCACACATCAGCTCAAACTCTGGATAGTTGTAGACAAAGATGGAAGGGTTCAATTTGAGGTCAGTGAAAGCAAGACGCCTGCGATGCCCACTGGCTGTAAAGGCCCCAATTCCAGAACCAGGACTCTGCAGAGTGTTCCTCGTCTAGTTTCCACATTGAGGAAAACAATGAAATTCCCGCAGGTGTAGCATGTTGTTTTCTTGTCGACAAATGTAAATGTGCCATTGTTGAATCCTTGCACCCACCTTATACATAGTAATAAAAATAAAAGTAACATTATTTACCATTTATTTTGCATGCACTCTCATCGTTGCATTGAATACATTATTTGTTATTTTATATTTACTTGAGTGAAAGTACAGATACTGCTGGTCAAATATTACTCCATTACAAGTAATAGTTGTAAAGACAGATTTTTACTTAAGTAAAAGTACAGAAGTACTTGCTTTTTAAAGTACTTAAGTACCAAAAGTAAAAAGTTTTATTGTCGTACATAATACTTGCAATACTTCTGAAGCAACTTAGAATATATTACACCTGCTGAATACACTGACTAGCTTGTAGTATCTTTGGAATAAAGAGCTTTTAGAATTTTAAAAACCTATGGGGGGGGGAATAAATAAATATTTAACACCCCTACCCACCCCCACAAAAGCAGGATGGTAGGGATCTCACACAGCTCTGACAGTGTGTGCACACATCTATGTGTAGCCATTCAATCACATTTGAACAGAGTGGACAGTGAAATCCTGTAAATACAGAGTGATAAGGAAGAAACAAAATCAAACCTGCTTTAAAACCCAGCAACACAACTGTAACTGTATAACTTTACAACAGAAACACTGCTTTAACAAAAAAGCAAAACAGCAAGGCTTATTTGACATCAAAACAAAAATTTTAAAAATGCTGTCTAATCACTCTCACTGTACTTGGATGTCACACACAGAACAGTCTATGCAGTTCTGCTTCAGTCAAACACCTTTTGTGTTTTATTAGGAGATGCACAACAGTTCTTCTGTGGCTTTATAGGTAATATTTTCACGTACACAATTTAGCAAAATCAGACAATATTGTGTCTAATATATACCACAATATTAACTTCTTATTATTGAATTGTTGTAAATAAATATCACATTTGCAACTGGTCAGTGTTCAAAAAATGCTGGGGAATCACTTCATGTAGCCCTACAAGAGTGATTACTGATAAACTGTCTGAAAAAAAGAAAACCAAGTTTTAGAGATGAAAAAAAATCACCCACTGACTTTCAAAGCTGCTACATAATAACGACTTTCTACTTCGAGGACCTTGATAGAAATGTAGTGGAGTGAAAAGTACAATATTTGTCTTTCAAATGAAGTGAAGTTAAAGTTATAAGTTCCCAGAAAAAATAATACTCAAGTAAAGTACAGATACTCAAAAAGTGTACTTAAGTACAATACTCAAGTAAATGTACTTAGTTACTGTCCGCCTCTGTTCATAACTTACCGAACTTCCAAGTTTCCCAGCACATCCATTTCAATCCGTCAGCTAACCCTCAGCGTGCGTCTGTTTCCATAGCAACCCATAGCACGCGGACTTGAGAGTAACATTTTATTTTGATTAATTATATAACGTCACATTTGATTTGTTTTAAGATTATGCTACATATAAGAAACATAATATAATATTATAAACATAAATAATATATACATTCAAGTGTATAGTATTGAATTGTTGTAAATAAATATCACATTTGCAAATGGTCAAAGTTCAAAAAATGCTGGGGAATCACTTCATGTAGCCCTACAAGAGAGATTACTGATAAACTGTCTGAAAAAAAAGAAAGTCACATTTTAGAGAAGAAACAAATCACCCACTGACTTTCAAAGCTGCTACATAGTAACGACTTTCTACTTCGAGGACACTGATAGAAATGTAGTGGAGTGAAAAGTACAATATTTGTCTTTCAAATGAAGTGAAGTTAAAGTTATAAGTTCCCAGAAAAAATAATACTCAAGTAAAGTACAGATACTCAAAAAGTGTACTTAAGTACAATACTCAAGTAAATGTACTTAGTTACTGTCCGCCTCTGTTCATAACTCACCGAACTTCCAAGTTTCCCAGCACATCCATTTCAATCCGTCAGCTAACCCTCAGCGTGCGTCTGTTTCCATAGCAACCCATAGCACGCGGACTTGAGAGTAACATTTTATTTTGATTAATTATATAACGTCACATTTGATTTGTTTTAAGATTATGCTACATATAAGAAACATAATATAATATTATAAACATAAATAATATATACATTCAAGTGTATAGTAACACACACACACATTGTAATTTGTAACAACATTACAATGTTGCTGTAATGTTGTTACAAATTCTTTTACCTTATTTGTATTGTAGTATAGTTGTATTTTGTATTTTGTATTTTGTATAGTTGTATTTTGTATTTAATGTGTATTTATGTTATCTGTATGCACCCAAGGGTCTGAGAGTAACGCAATTTAAATTCTCTGTGTGTATGTGCTGTACATGTGGAAGAACTGACAATAAAGCAGACTTGACTTGACTTGACTTGACTTGACTTAGGTAGTGTCAACGACTAGATAAATAAAATTAAATAGGAATAAAATAAAATAATAATTATAATTATAATTATTACTAATATTATTGTTGTTGTTAATTGGCTAGTTAGGTTGTTTAGTTTAACGACTTGTTTATGTCATTTCATCCCTTTTTATATTTTGTTCCTAGCAGAACAAAAAAAAAGGTACTGGTGACTTTTATTTTGAAGGTGTGTTTGAGGCAGATTTTGAAAGGGAAATCCATATCAGTATATCGGATTCACAAAGCTTTTCGGTGGGAACCTTCAAACTTACAATGTCGGGCACGGCGTCGTGAGTAATAAAGTAATGTCCTGCAAAAGCGAAAGGACATCATTATCCATTAGCTAATCGAATGATCGGTAAATGCCTTTCGTATATGTCGTTTAACTTGACAGAAGGTCGTTTTGCCACAAGATTTGCTTGCATTTCAATTGATTAGCTTAGTTAGCCAGCCGTGGGCGTTGGTTAGCTTGAATTTAGTATTGTGTAGGTGCTGTGATGGCTTCTGCAATGTCTAAATCTCGTGAATGACTGTAACGGTTGTTTTAGCATGTGTACCGACAGATTACGCTTAGTCATTACGGTTTGTGCCATGTACAGTAGTACGTGCGAGTCAGCACTTCATTTGAGGAAGTAGCTAGCTAGCCTACATAGCTAGCACAGGGAATTGAGCGGCTGTGTTATAAAAAGCCACTGAGTTCCCTATATAGACAGCATGTCTAGATGTGCGCATTCGAACAAAAAACTGCGCTTGAAACCGAGCCAGACTGCAATTCCTGGTCACTGACAGCCTTATGATTAACATTTGTTTCCCTAAAATAGATAAAGGGGGTCATGCAGCTCTTAATAATACATGTACGATGTGACCATAAGACTCTATTTGTATATATTTTTTATTGTTCATTTGCATTTGGAAACATTACTTCCGTGTGTAGTGGGCTGTGGGTGGCTCTACTGGACTTTGAAAACCTGTTATCTCGGTTTGCTGTGTAGCTCTCCAGAGATTATTTAAAGTCTGTGTAAAGACAATTCTGAGAATTGTTTCTAAATGCATTATAAATGTTAGAAACGTATTGCACAAAGACTCTGAAGTGTGTAGTACTGAATTGTGGAGTTAAACCGTTAAACAGTTTTTCACCAATTCTTCTGTATTCAGGATTTTTTTGGGGGCGGGGCTAAAACGGTGGCTCGATGACGCAATGGAGCCACCGAGCATGGCCCCGCCCCTAACACTATAATATATAGCCTACTGCGTATTAGAGTCAGAAGAAAAAGACCACTCTGTTGCAGACCGAGTGGGATGAGGTTGATTCTCGGGTAGCCGGTCAATGTCCTCTGAATTGGATTCTGGCTCTGGAGGTTCAAACATGTATGGATGTATAAATCCAATTAAGCTACTAGAGGTAGCATGAGTAGCTTCCATTCAGTTTGGAGCGGTATTTGACAGTTGAGAGAGACGGCCGCTCTCCCGCGAGGGGGCGTGGTTTCCAAGATTTTGATAACTTATGTTATTTACTTGGCGGTTTTTTTTATCATTCAAATTTGGTTGGGTGGTTAATAACACATGTTTCTGTTGTGTGACAAACTCAGAACACATATTTTAATATCGCTTTACACGGACTTTAAATTGTGTGTGGGATCAGTTGAGAGAGGTTATGCTGCACAGGCTGATCTGCTTACATGTTTGCACTCAGGGCCCTTGCTTTTGTTATAAGCTGATCTTTTGTCACCCAAACTGACTGTTTATCCTAAGGATCAGCTCAGCTTTCGCTTTTGCAAACTTGTCTCTCGGCAGGTGAGTGCTGGCTGAAGGATAATGGCACATGTTGGGGCAGTAGTTGCAGCGATGGCCGGTGTGATGGCCATTCTGCTTCATTCTTCCATTCACAAGATTGAGGAAGGACATTTAGCTGTGTATTACAGGTGAGTATAAGGAAGTTGCATTAAAAATATACACAGGTTTTATGCTGCTTTTGTTAATGATTCCTAAAATACCTGTAATTTAGTTGTAGGTTGAAGGCTAGATCAGTTAAATTGATTAACACGATGTTTGAAATTTGTCATTTGGCCAAGCCTGTATGACTTTTGTCATCTGTGGAACATTAAAGAATGTATTTTGAGAAAAATATTGAAGATAAAAAATGTTTCCATATAATGGATGTCATTGGTCACCTATTGATCTGTTTAACAGCATTCTTTAAACATTTTCCTTTGTGTTCCATAGAAGAATGTAGGTCATACAGGTTTGAAATGGCATGAGGTAGAGTAAATGGTAGCAGAATTTTCATTTTTGGTTCAACTGTCTCTTTAGGTAACTTTACAGCTTCTTTACAGTAATAGAAGTTGTAATATTATTTCTACACAAATGAAATTGATGCCATTTTTATCATTCCCATAATTAATTTGCTTCCTAATCCGGGTTCATGTTTTTTCCCATTTTTTTTTTTTCTCAGAGGAGGAGCATTGTTGACATCTCCTAATGGCCCGGGTTACCATATAATGCTGCCTTTCATCACCTCATATAGATCAGTGCAGGTACAAATGTCATGTATTTACAGTTGGCCCAATACAAAAATTTATTCTTGTTTTATTACAGCTGTACATATTATATATCATTTATTATGATCTTTTTCTACGACTTTTAACATGAGTCATGAGTGGATTTTTGAGGTTGTTGAATATTTTGCAATTACATTTATGCATTTATCAGAAGTTTTTATTAGAAAGCTAGAGAAACCAAGCTAGAATTTTGTTGAAGATGCTGATTTGTTTTTTTCCTTTGCATCATGTTTATAGACTACTCTGCAAACAGATGAAATAAAAAATGTGCCTTGTGGAACCAGGTAATCCTTTGTGTTGTTGTTATTCCATCAATATGTCCTGAAAAACGACTTAAAAATTGATAATTTTTGGTCATCATTAAATTGTACTGGATATTTTCTGGGGTTCCTGCATGAAAGTAATAATTTCTTTGTCAGTTGTGCTGTTTAATATTTTTGTGGAAACCGTGATATATATATATATATATATATATATATATATATTTATTTATTTATTTATTTATTTTAGGATTTGCTTAAAAATAGACAGTTAAAAATACAGGATTTATTTGAAATAACAATCTTTTGTAACATTCTAAATTGCCCTTGCATGCAATTCTCTAGTTTTAATCAAAATTTCCCTTGCTTTCATCATCTGCAGGGAAGCAGAGAAGACCAGGCTGCTCATCACTGCTCAGACACAGAAAGTGGTGGAGAAAGAGGCTGAAACTGAGAGAAAGAAGGCAATCATTGGTGAGTCTGAACTTCCAAATATAATGCTGATCATGTATAGAGTCATGGTTCTGTCCTCTTTCATCTTATGTATTCTCTCATTGCAGAGGCTCAGAAAGTGGCTCAGGTGGCGGAGATTCACTTCCAACAAAAAGTGATGGAGAAGGAAACTGAGAAAAAGATCTCAGAAATTGAAGGTCTGGTTTATCTACTGAGAATTTTCATAGCACGTGCCATGCAGAGTATGTTACTTATCAGACACATTTATTTGATTGTAACAGATGCTGCTTTCCTGGCAAGAGAGAGGGCAAGGGCAGATGCGGAATATTACACTGCTGCGAAATTTGCAGAAGCCAACAGGGTAAAAAAAAAAAAAACAACACTTTTTTTCTTTTTTTTTGTGCTCAATGTAATTTTTTTAACCATTTAATTTTAAGAAAATATGAAATATTGGTGTAAGGCTCAGTGCACTTTGTACATAAACAAATACTTTTTTGCAATAACTTTTTGGAGAAATCCTTAGAGGAGCCAGTTTTTAAGGAAATTAAAAAATGTTATTTGGGGCATTTACAAAATGTTAAACCTACAGGTTTAAAGGAATAGTTCATTTGCTGAAAATTTACTCAGGCCTCAGGCCATGCAAGATTTAGATGGGTTTGCTTCTTCATCAGAATGGATTTGGAGAAATTTAACATTATCAGCTCACCAGCTCATCATTGCATCCTCTGCAGTAAATGGGTGCCGTCAGAATGAGAGTTCAAACAGCTGATTAAAAACATCACAATAATCCACAAGTAATCCACACGACTCCAGTCCATAAGTTAACATCTTGTAAAGTGAAAAGCTGGGTGTTTGTAATAAACAAACTCATAATTAAGACGTTTACTTCAAACTTTTACTTCTGGCTAAAATAATACTAAATTTCTCCAAATCTGTTTCAAAGAAAAAACAAACTCACCTACATCTTGGATGACCTGAGGGTGCAAATAAATTCTTTAAAAATCCTACAATGTGATTTTCTGGATTTTTTTTCTCATTTTGTCTCTCATAGTTGAGGTATACCTATGATGAAAATTACAGGCCTCTCTCATCTTTTTAAGTGGGAGAACTTGCACAATTGGTGGCTGACTAAATACTTTTTTGCCCCACTGTACATTTTAAGCAAAATGTACACACTTTTCAGCATACCCAAAGCTATATTAAGCTACATTTAACCTCAGCTATATTAAGAAAGCACCTGTAGGAGACAATAGCTGACTAGCTCTGAACACATGGTGGCACATTCACACATTTCTTCAGCAGGGATGATTCCACACAGGATGTGCTCATGTCAGTTATCACACCACTGTCTCTCTCCTCCACAGCTGAAGCTGACACCAGAGTATCTGGAACTGATGAAATATCAGGCCATCGCCGCAAACAGCAAGATCTACTTTGGTCAAGACATCCCAAACATGTTTGTAGACAACAGTGCCTCCCATTCGACCGCGGGCCAGGGTGAGGCAGACTCGGTGGAGCAGCTGGAGGCCTTGAGTATGAAAGAGAGTCTTAAGAAAGCGTCTAAGCCCAAAGCCACAGAACGCCACTGAGGGGCCTGAGAGCTGTCCACCCCCTCTTCCTCTGCTGTCTCTCTCTCTCTCTCTCTCTCTCTCTCTCTCTCTCTCTCTGTGGGGCATGGGTGCTTGTGAGGCATGCTGACATGGATACTTTTCTCTCTTCTTCTGCAGTGGGGTTGGGTGCTTGGCTAACTGTGCTGTGAGTCAGTCAGCCAGCTGAGGACACTGACACACAGAGCCTGTGGTTTTCCAGCAGTCGCTTGTGGACTAAAAATGTCCAGGAACCGTGCTACTGAGTATTGCCTGGTTAAATTGGTGCGATCCAAATCCGAATCCCCTCCCTGACTCACATCAGCATGCTTTTTCCCCTTTTTTACTTTCAACTTTTGCTTCTCTTTAACAAATCCATGCTAATTATTTGTTAGATGCAGATGCATCTATGTGAAGTATGTGAACATTTAAAGGTTTACCTTTGTGTTGGCTTTTACATAACTGGAATTATAAGGTATCACACTAATTGAGATCAAAGGCAGTGGCCTATGCAGCTACAATCTGATAAAACTCGTTTTGCAGCCAAAATTTGTCATCTGCTTTTGCTTCATATGTTGTTGAAGGGATTCTTCACCCTAAAGTTTAAATTCTGTCATTATTTATTTGCCATTTACATGTCATTCCAAATCTGTATGGCTATCTTTCTTCTGTGGAATATTAAAAACAAAAGATATTTTAAAAAATGTCTGTTTTTTCCCCTTTTTTACTTTCAACTTTTGCTTCTCTTTAACAAATCCATGCTAATTATTTGTTAGATGCAGATGCATCTATGTGAAGTATGTGAACATTTAAAGGTTTACCTTTGTGTTGGCTTTTACATAACTGGAATTATAAGGTATCACACTAATTGAGATCAAAGGCAGTGGCCTATGCAGCTACAATCTGATAAAACTCGTTTTGCAGCCAAAATTTGTCATCTGCTTTTGCTTCATATGTTGTTGAAGGGATTCTTCACCCTAAAGTTTAAATTCTGTCATTATTTATTTGCCATTTACATGTCATTCCAAATCTGTATGGCTATCTTTCTTCTGTGGAATATTAAAAACAAAAGATATTTAAAAAAATGTCTGTTTTTTTTTTTTTCTTTTGTCCATACAATAAGTCAATGGGATCCAATGTTGTACCTTGCTTGGATCCCATTAACTTTCAAAATACGGACAAAAACAGAATATCATCTTTTGTGTTCTACCGAAGAAATAAAGTCATGCAGGTTTGGAACGTCATGAGGGTGAGTAACTGATGACAGAATTTTCATTTTTAGGTAAACCATCCCTGTAGTCCTCATTTCCATCATCACTAACTTCATTATCACTAAAATCTTAATTTAGTCTCGCCACAACTGCAGAGATCAGTGTCTTTTACATGTGTATGAAAGAATCAATTTGTTTTGAATCATCCCTGCTTGTTTTTCATTGATTTTTATGATTGAGAATTTTTCAACAACATTGACACCTGAATACTTTGGTGTGAATTTAATTTCATGTAATTTCAGAAATAGTGGGTTTGGTATAGTGTGTTAGTTTGTTGGTGACCTGTGCGCTGTTTTTGAGTTGTTGGTTCTTAGAAGGTGTTACACTGACTGAACATGGGTATGTGGCTTTCATAAAGTTTCGTAAGACATTCAAGTTTTGATCCGGGGCTCCAGCCTTTGAAAAGCTATGAGATGGACAGCTAATGGATTCTATAAGGTTGAGTCTGTTCCTTTATAATTGAAAATGCCTTTGACTTGGTTAAGCTTGCTTGTTTTGTCATTACTGGAAGGAGCTTGTTTCAAAGGGAATTCAGTTACAATAAGGGCTGCTGTATTATTAGGCACTATTGTTTTTTTTAGCGTTGATGGGTGAATGCATTAATGATCAGACGTTCTAACAACATATTATTGCATGCTGGGAGCCAGATGATGTTTTCCTGAAGCCTCAAAAACTTCATCAGAATGTCACCAGTAGGGGAAGCCAGTGATCTTCAATAATCTAAAGACTGGGCAACAAAGACCTACATGACTCAAAAATGTAGTAAAAAGTGTCCAAGTCTGCCTAAGTTGCTTTCATATGCCAATAATAACAATTAATTGACATCAAATCAAATCATCCAAACAAGGCTTTGAATAGTGTCTACTAGTACCATCTCTCAGGAAAAGAGACCCACGTGTTAACTTGAATGACCTGGAGTTTTTTCATACCCTATTTTAATAAACCGATATAAGCTGTAAGGTCATGTTGTCTGTGTAAATCTGTCACACAGCACATAGATTTACATCTACATATTTTCCATTAAAGAGACAAGCATTAATTTAATACAGTTAGTCTGAATGTTCCCACTACAACCAGTGGCTTCTTCCATCCTAAAATTGACATTTATTGTTTTCTTTCAGGGTGTACGTTTAAGTGTCTCAAAACCAATCCTCAAATATTTTTCTGTTCATAAGATCCCTGTGATTCTTATGGCTGATTAAATTGACTCTCGAATAAACCCAATCTGTGAATGTCACTTTTTTATGTCAGCGTAATTTAAGATCCTAATTTTAAAACATTTATATGCAAAATTTATAACATTTTGACAATGTTGAATTCTGTGAAATAAAACCTATTTTGATACCATAAAAACGACTGTTTTCTTAATTTGCAGTTGTGTGATCATACTGTTCTTGTCTTGCACATAAAGGAAGTGTACACCATGTCCTAATAAGGAAGTTTCACAAAGGCTAGTGTCAAAGATTGTGTCATGAAGTAAGTGTTTATTTTAATATGAGTTGGATATATGAGAAATAAAGAATAGAAACTAGATCTTATGCATGTAAGAACTACATTTTAGAATCTAAAACACAAGTGCATGCAAAGCTTGCCACCATGATGCCAGTGTGGCTGATAGGGTATTCAAGGTGCCTCTCTTATTCTAATATTCAAGTCTTCAGATGCGACTTTGGTTGCTCCTTTAATGCATGTCTTTAATCTTACAACTACTTTTTCTTGTTTTTCAGACTGTATTGTGAATAATCTGATAGCC